ATTATATAAAATATTATAAAAACACTCTTAAATGTATACATTAAAAGAGGTCACTGATGGGTGCAAATCAATTTGGTTTTTGAACAAATGGTTAAAGGTGAGAATTTTTGCTGTGTAAGTTGGCTGTCTATTATGGAAGTGCATAAGAAAATGCAAGATGATTTTTTTTTTGGGAGTAAAGCCCCTTAAGGTAAGAGAATATATTAAATATCTATTCAGATCATCAGAGAATGATCCTTGATATTCTAATAAACTTATTGGGCAATATTTACTGCCATTGGGTTGCCATGTAAGTAAGCTATCAATCTTACAAAATTGCTTCTGCTTAATCACTGCCACTTGTGGTCATAAGTTAGTAGTGCGAGTCCAAAAAACTTATCTATATATCTGTGATACCCGGTTATTTGGAATATTTTATTGAAAATATAATTGTTTTTTTTTATGATTATTTATAAGGTGGTTTTATAGTATTTGATATATTAGTTATGTAAATAATTAATTTATAGTACATTAGTATATGGTATGTACTTATTAAATATGTGATATTTGTATGTGGTACGTGTATTATAATTGTAATATATTATTATTATTATTATTATTATTATTATTATAATTATATTATATAGTAAGTATAGGTATATACTTATAATATGTTGTGTATAAGATAGTGAATTTGGCCTAGGTAGTGATATGAACTTAGTCCAAGGTTGAAATAAGATGGAATATTGTCCCAAGAATGCTCTCAAAATAAAGATAGAGATGGATCAAAATACCTTAAACCTCACGAGAAACCCTTTGTCTCGAATCCTCAAAGACTTGGAAGAATCCCATTGTAGCTTTAAGTACCTCGATGTTGCAATCTTCAATCAACTAGAGTCAGATCTAGTTTCCTTCGATTCAAGAACGAGTCCACGAACCTAAATCTAAGGCTGAAGAAAGGAAGATTGATTCGAGTCCACGAATCAATTTGCTAGTCGAGTCCACGACTAGCCACTAATTGAGTCCACAATTAGCCATAAGGTTTCTTACACAAGTGTAAAGAAAAACTTAAGAATTTTATTGAATTAAAGCCTCTAAAACTGATATGGATGTGCCCTATTTATAGGTATAGGGCAGCATTGTAATCTAAATACAATGGGAAAAAGAGTCTTAAACCTAATCTAGAAAACAAGTAAATAGAGTTTTATTTAGAATAGGATTTAAGGAATCCTTTCTAAATACAACTAGTGTTTTCTCTTTTATGCCAAACAATTTAAATTAATGATGACCAAAAATAATAGGGCTGATTTGGGCCTAATTTAATTACCAAAATCAGCACTTAAACAATTATAAAAAAGCCTTGAGTTATTCTTCATATTTTGCAAATGGGCTTGACTTGGATTTCCACCATCTTTGAACATCACCAATGAAGAGTTGCCTTAATTGTTTGGACTTGGGCCTTGTGATTGGCCCAATTAGTATTCTTAATGGATCTTCATATGTTGGGCCGCATCATCCTCCCCTTCTTGAAAATGATTCGACCTCGAATCTTGTAAGCATTGTCTTCGATCCATGATATCACTTGAAATTGGCCACTATAATATTTTCCTCTATCGAATGGACTTATTATTGGTCTTTGTTGTTTCTTCCACCAATGATGTTTTAAGGTCGTCGTTATGGGCCTTGTGATGAGCCCACTATTTACCCTTTCTGGATTCCATGTGTACTGGTTCCTATTATTCTCCCATTCTTGAAAAGGATTCGTCCTCGAATCCAAATCTTCAGTGAAAGACAAAGTAGCAAGCTCACTTTCTGTTTTATCACGCTCATGGAACTTTTTCTTGGGATGCTTGACATGAGTCGCTCCAATCATCATCCTACAATCAACAAGTAAGGCAATTAAGTCTAATGACACATCAGGGAATTTAAACATTCTGGATGGTAATAATTCAACAAAATGAGACATATTAAATTTATGCATCTTGTTTGAATTGTCAATAAGCACAAAATCTTTCCACCTAAAGCTTAAGGCTAAACCAAACACAAAATCCATGAAAATATCAAGTAATGATTTAGATGCATTGTGGTGGTAAGTAGCACAATTATGAACATAAGATTCTACATCTTTTTTCTTCTTTGGCCAATGAAAATATCCATGCAAAACATCATCACTCTTTGGAAAATCAAATTGTCCCTTATGTGAATCAATAATTAAATCATTGCTCAAATCCAAGCAAAAAGTGCCATGAGCGTGATAAAACAGAAAGTGAGCTTGCTACTTTGTCTTTCACTGATCAACTAGAGTCGGATCTAGTTTCCTTCGATTCAAGAACGAGTCCACGAACCTAAATCTAAGGTTGAAGAAAGTAAGATTGATTCGAGTCCACGAATCAATTTGCTAGTCGAGTCCACGACTAGCCACTAATTGAATCCACAATTAGCCATAAGGTTTCTTACACAAGTGTAAAGAAAATAGATTCATATCAGGTAGAGTCCAGGTTCATTTAGCATGTGGATTATTTTAGTTAGACAAATCACCACAAAATCATCTCTTTTAAATTAATATAATTATGATAATTCATCTATTAACCTTAATTAACTATTTTCTATCAATATTAATATTGATTATTGACTAAGGATTATTTCCCATCTACCGCTCTTGCTTGTGGCCGAAATTCTTCTCATTCCTTCTTCCTCTCTCTTGGCCGACTTCTTCTTCAATTCTAGCAAGCTGGAAAATCGATTATAGGAAATTATGGTGTGCAGTAAATTATATTGTTTTGATGACTCCTAATAGGTAAGATTTATGTTCACTCAAAATTTCTTTTAACCCCATATGAATCAAAAATCTTTTTCTAAGTGCTTGTGTGAAAATCTTTTTCATCAAAAATCTTTTTAGTTATTTTTGGATAATTGCTATATATGTGATTATGACCTTCGTAAAAATTGTGTTCAATACGTAAATTTATGTATCGTTTTATGTTGGTGTTTATATGCTTATGAATATATGTTATATGCATTCGTACGTACGTTAGTGAAGTGGTATATATATATTTCTTTAATTGTGCTTAGCTTAAATGAGTGGTTGTGTTCATGTTTAATAACAAGCGGTAATTCGTAAATGTGCGCCTAAAGATATATATTGTGTTTGTATGGATTAAAGTGCGTACAGTATGTTGTGGTGCAATATTAATTTATTTAGGCATGAAAATATTAGTATGTGGCATATTGGTTAAATAGTTGGATATTGTATGTGATGTATTAATATTGAGTTAGATGATTAGCGTTGATGGATTATTCATATTTGGTTCATGGCATGCTAATTGATATAATGGTTGCAGATACAAGTGTAATAAGGTTGAAAGTATTACTTGGTGCAAAGATTTTTGATATAAGATGCGAATTTTGAAAGTTATAGTTACATATATATTTTGTCTCGGAGGATGGTGATACTTGGAGGTTTTGAACTCTCCTTTTTGGTTATTATTATTATTTTGAGAGCTGAGATCTCTCTAATTGAATTGGCCACCGGTTCGTAAATTCGTCCGGTTTATTTTGAATTTGGTTTTGGATATGATTTGGTTTGGAAGCTTGAAATTTTCTATTTGGATCCATCCCTCCTTGGCATTGTATATAATAACTATTGTTGGACATGTGAAAAGTTTAACCAATTATTTAGAAAATTTACCATGGTGGTTATTTTGAGAGTTTTGGATACTCTCTATTTGGTGGTTATCTTGAGAGATTGAAAACTCTCTTTGGGTTATTAAATTGTGATTTCGGTAATTTTCCTTAATTGGTTATATGGAAATTTTGAGGACATGGTTATATGAAAATGTTGAGATAAAGGTTTATGGCGAATTTTGAGGAAAGAATAATGGTTGAATAATTTTGGATTATGGATAGGCAATGCCTTAGTCGATTTGCTAGAAGTTGTTATGGATATTTTTGTAATTGCATGTGTGATTTCCTCAAAATATATATATATATATATATATATATATATATATATATATATATATATTTTTAAAATGATTAAAGAGTATTGGTATTGTTGAGAATAAAAATGTTCTAAGGGGTTTATGTGCAAGTTATATGCTCCTATGTGTTATGTGTTATGTGCAAATGTTTTATGGGGTGGAGTAAGTCTTACCAGCTGTTGTATGCTGAATTTGTTCCCCCTTTAGTTCTTTTGCAGGTGTTGTTGCATGGCATTTGGAGCATGAGAGCGAACCCTTCTAAATTAGTCTTTTGGAGTTGTTATTTTTTTTATTAGATAATCTAGAGGTTGTATTTAATGCATTGTAATAGAATAAATTATGGGTTGTTTTAGTAGTGTTGGTTTTAGCCTGTGCGTTTAGATATAGCTTGTATCTAGACGTGGCGGTAGCATCTCTTTTCCCCTTGTTTTGTTTAGCTTCCACAAACTAAACGATGGTTTCTAATTAAATAAAAGAAGTTTTTTCTCGAATTTTAGTCGTGGAAAATTGGGGTGTTACAATACCCTTCATAATATAGAACATGACTTAAGAAATGTCTCTGCAAATTCCTAACCTTCATTTGGAAGCTTCAAGTCATCTGCAGCAAGAACAAGTCATACAAGCAACAAACAAAACTTCTGGATTTTAAATTTTGGACAATTTCCTCTAAAAAGAAAATGTCAGAATAAAACTATCCTTTTTAATTAAATCCTTGAGACACACAGGGAGACTAGTATGACCATTAAGTACTTCCTTCAAGAAATATTTTTTAGCTAGTAGAAAATGATTTGTATTTCTTTATTTTAGGAAATGCTTAAAACTAACCTTTTTTTTTTCTTAAAAGGAAGGACTGGATCAAAATACTTTCTTAGGCATATTACATGCATATAAGAAAAAATGGTGATTCTTATTAGGACTCTTATATTAGTAGTTCGTTAGGACTCTTTATCTACTCTCTATATTATTACTTGTACAGACTCAGTTACGATTTGATATTCAATAATCAAATCCTCATCTGGTATCAGTTTCCAGGTTAATTCCATGGCAGCCTTGGGAGACAACAATGACGGTTCTGTTCGCGATTCTTCTGAACGGACTGTGTCCGAGGTTGCTCCTGTTCATCCCCACCCGGTTCCGAGCTTATCTTCGGCGCATCATTTTGTCTCGCTTAAGCTTACCGTTCATAATTATCTTTTTTGGAGGACTCAAATGCTTCCGTTCTTGGAGGGGCAGGGTCTTCTCGGTTATGTGGATGGTACGCACGCTTGTCCAACCGGTGCAGCGCCGGTGGAGTCCACGGCGGACAGCAGCGCTGCCGCGGCGTCGGGTTCGGCTTCGGAGCAGTGGCGTCGGCAAGACAAGGCTATCTTGTCTCTTTTGATTTCGTCGCTGTCCGATGAGATGATGCATATGGCCGTTGGTCAGTCCACTTCACGGGCCTTGTGGTTAGCCATCGAGCAGGAACTTGGATCGGCGACACGGTCTCGTGCCTTGCGGCTGCTTGGCGAGTTGCAAGCGCTAACTCAGGGGGAGTCTTCTGTCTCGGATTATCTCGGTCGGGCACGGATGCTTGTCGAGGACTTGGCGCTTGCCAGGCGTCCGATCACGCTTGATGATCAAAATATATATGTTTTTCACGGGTTGCGGCCGGAGCTTCGTCCCCTCGTTGCACCCTTGACGCGTGGCTCTCCGGTGACGTTGTCCGAGCTTTCGGACTACCTTACCTCTCAGGAGTGGATTTGTGCGGCTGGCGGTGGTGGAGTTGGTTCGCCGGCAGTGTTGGTCGTGAACCGTGGCCGTGGTGGCGGTCGCGGGTATGGCGGGCAGAATCGTGGTGGCTCGGGCAGTGGCTCGGGCAGTGGCTCGGGCGGTGGCGGCTCGGGCAGTGGAGGCTCGGGTCGCGGTGGTGGCCGAGGCCGAGGAGGCCGAGGCCGGGGCCGGGGTCGGTCTGATGTGCGGTGTCAGATTTGTGATAAACAGGGCCATTCTGCGTTAAATTGCTATCGCAGGTATTCTGAGTCCCCCGGTCCTCAGGTTCACATGACTTATTCCGGAGATGTGGGTGGCTCGATTGATTCTCATCAGTGGTTTCCTGACACGGGTGCCACGAATCATGCGACACCTGACTCCACGGTGTTGACTTCCGCTGCTGGCTATGATGGTTCTGACACTCTACGGGTTGGCAATGGTACAGGTATGACTATACTTAGTGTTGGTTCTGCTTCGATAGCCTCTTCTAGTAAACTTTTTCGTTTAAATGATGTCTTGCATGTCCCTGGCTTGTCATCGTCTTTACTTTCTGTTCAGCGTTTTGCTAGGGATAATCATGTCTTTTTTTAGTTTCATTCTGAGTATTTTCTTGTGAAGGATCTCTTGACCAAGGAGGTGCTTTTTAAGGGGGGCGCGTCGGGAGGTTTATATACTTGGCCTGTTTCCTGTCGTAGTCCTTCTGCTAATGATGCTGCGCGTGTCTCGTCTTCTACTTGGCACCAGCGGCTTGGTCATCCACACACACGAGTTCTGCGTCAAATTTTACAGTTATCTGGTGTTAGTCAATTTAATTCTAGTGAGTTGTCCAATGTTTGTTCGTCTTGTCAGTTAGGGAAATCTTCCCGTTTTCCATTACCTCGTGTTGCTACTTCGAGTACTCGTGTATTAGAACTCGTGTATACTGATATTTGGGGCCCTGCGCCAATAACATCTGTTAATGGTTTTCGTTACTTCGTTTTGTTTGTGGATGATTTTACGCGTTTTGTTTGGTTCTATCCTATGCGTGCCAAAACCGATATCTACGCTATCTTTGAACGTTTTCGCTCTCTTGTTGAGCGTTCATTCTCTCAAAAAATAATTGCCGTTCAATCTGATTTAGGGGGAGAGTACAAAAAGCTCCACTCTACGTTTGTGTCTCTTGGTATTCGTCACAGGCAGTCATGTGCGTATACGCATGAGCAAAATGGTCGGGTAGAGCGTCGCCATAGGCATATAGTTGAAACTGGGTTGGCTTTAATGGCTCAGGCTTCTGTTCCCTCTCGGTATTGGGATTTTGCGTTTGAAACGGCAGTCTATTTAATTAATAAGATGCCTACTCGGGTTTTAGATAATGAGTCTCCTCATTATCATCTGCATTGGTCCCCTCCGTCTTACTCTTTCTTGCGGGTTTTTGGTTGTCTTTGTTTTCCTTTACTGCGTCCATATAATCGTAATAAACTGCAGTATCGTTCGTCTCCATGTGTTTTCTTGGGTTATCCTGACTCTTTTCATGGCTATCGTTGTCTAGATACTGTCACTAATAAAGTCTTTATCTGTCGCCATGTGCGATTCGATGAGGCTGTTTTTCCGTTTGCTAGTGGTGTTTCTACGCAGGTTATTGCTCCGCCCCGGGCTGTCCCGTGGGGTGTTGCCCCCATTGTTGCTGATCCTGCACCGGTTCTTGCGCCGGTTTTGCCTACTAGGGAGGAGCGGCCGGTTTCCACTCCCGTGGTCCCGGATTCAGATTCTAGTGAGCGGACAGTATCTGACTGTGGGCAGGTTGCCCGTCGTGGTCGGACGTGTCGGGGCCGTGGTGCCAAGGTTGTTGGGCCGCGGTCTCATGTGATGGGCACACGGAGTATGGGCCCTAAGGATCATGTTGCTTTGTTCACTGCTGCTGACGATCTTGAGCCCACATGTTACTCACAGGCCGTGCGTCATCCCGAGTGGCGTGAGGCCATGGATGTGGAGTTTAATGCTTTGCTACAGAACCATACATGGCGGCTTGTGCCTTACACTCCAGGTGTGAACGTTGTGGGGTGTAAGTGGGTTTTTCGGGTCAAGCGAAATGCGGATGGATCTGTTGAACGTCACAAGGCCCGGCTGGTGGCTAAGGGTTTTAATCAGGTTGCCGGGAAAGACTTTTTTGAGACATTCAGTCCAGTTGTCAAGCCTACCACGGTTCGGCTTTTACTTTCCTTGGCTTACTCTCGTGGTTGGTCCATTAGGCAGCTGGATGTTCACAACGCATTTCTGAATGGTTCGCTAGCTGAGACAGTGTACATGCGTCAGCCGCCTGGCTACGAGGACAAGACGAAACCGGATCATGTGTGCTTTCTGCAACGGTCTCTGTATGGTTTGAAGCAGGCCCCTCGTGCTTGGTTCACTCGGTTGCACGATTTCCTTTGCTCGGTTGGCTTTGTTCCTTCTAAAACTGACGTGTCATTATTTATCTATTCTGATGGTGCTGTGCAATTGTATTTTTTGGTGTATGTTGATGACATTCTGGTCATGGGCTCGGACTCGCAGCAGGTCTCGGGAATTGTGGCCAAGCTGGCTGCGGAGTTCAAGATTCGGGATATGGGGGCTCCATCGTTCTTTCTCGGCATTGAGACTGTGCCGCTCTCGGATGGTGTTCTCCTGTCTCAGAGGCGTTATATTCAGGACATTCCTAAGCGTGCCGGCATGGTGGATTGCAAGCCGGTCTCGACCCCGGTTTCAGTGGTTCGGTCTGATTATGCTGACACCACTCCTTATGCTGATCCCACTCACTATCGCAGCATTGCAGGTGCCCTGCAGTACCTGACTGTGACTCGCCCTGATTTATCTTTTGCAGTTAATAGGCTCTGTCAGCACATGCAGTCTCCTACCACAGCTGATTGGAGTCTGATGAAGCGGGTATTACGGTATGTTAAGGGCACTCTTGGTCTTGGACTCAGTATTCGCAGGTCTCTGTCTTCTGCTGTTCATGCTTTTTCTGATTCGGATTGGGCTGGCAAGCCGGATGATAGAAAGTCAACCAGTGGCTTTGCGGTCTACGTGGGCACCAATCTGGTTTCCTGGTCATGCAGAAAGCAGCGCACGGTGGCGCGTTCGTCTACTGAGGCTGAATACAAGGCCTTAGCTGATGTCTCGGCAGAGGTTACGTGGCTCGTTTCACTACTTAGAGAGATTGGTTTTCCGTCGGCTTCTGCGCCAACTCTGTGGTGTGACAACTTGGGTGCCACCTACTTGTGTTCGAACCCAGTTTTTCATGCCCGAACGAAGCATGTGGAGATTGATTATCATTTCATTCGTGACAAGGTTGCCAAGAAGGAGATTCAGGTTCATTTTATTTCTACGAAGGATCAACTAGCAGACGTTTTCACCAAGGCTCTTCCGTCTACTCGGTTTTCGTTTCTACGGGACAAACTCAATGTTGCAGCTGCTCCGTCTTGAGTTTGAGGGGGAGTATTAGGACTCTTATATTAGTAGTTCGTTAGGACTCTTTATCTACTCTCTATATTATTACTTGTACAGACTCAGTTATGATTTGATATTCAATAATCAAATCCTCATCATTCTTACAGTAGGAATCAAAGCTTACCTGTTGCATTAGATTTTAGAGCACTTGGCCTTCATTTTTGGGCCAAAGAAAGAGTTATTGCTTCCTCAACCTTCTGAAGTGAAAAAAATTAGACTACATTAGAAGTTCAGTTTTCTTATTTATTTGGAATAAATGGAAATAACAATATGGCATTTCATAACACAGGTCCACATTGAAGATAGGTGAAATGCAATTAAGAACCAGAGGCAAAAAATATTCTTGAGAGTTAGTAAAACCTGAACCATCACTGATGCAAAATCCAATTTTGATGCAGAATCTAAATGCTTCGACACCATCACCTTCAGAAACAAACCCAGAAACCATCGAAGTCCAAGAAACCAAATCTCTTTGAGGCATTTCTTCAAACACCTGAAAAGCGTCAACAAGCCCCCCACTCTTTACATTTCTCTTTGGTTGGCAACAATGACAAAATACAATGCAGATGAATTTACTCCAAATAACTAAGAAATGTGCAACCTATAACCTATAGCTGAATAACAAAATCAACAATTAAATAAAATTAATTAAATTCAAGGAAAATAAATAAATTACCTGATGGCTGCTGTTGGTTCACGTCGATGGACCTGCTGATGCTAGAGCTCGCAAGGAGAACCAGACGCCTGGGGATTGCAGGGATGCGGCAGACTAGGGAAAAGGGAATTAGGGTTGGAGGCTGGGGTCGGAGGGAAAGTTTTTAAGTCAATTGGGAAAATTATGAACTGCTTGAGAATGGTGGAATTACGTGAGAATGGACAACTAGAGCGACAGAGGCAAGGCTGAGAGAGGCTGAGAGAAGCTGAGACGGCCGTGTTGGACTCTGAGTGGTCGGCGACTGCTTGCAGCGAGCGCTGTGGAGGATGGGAGAAGATGTAGGAGAGTGTTGTGGAGGATGGAAGTCTGAGTTCACTTAGCGTATGTAGGGTTATAAATTTTATTTATGGGAAAATGGCACTTTTTCCCCCTTTGTTATATACTTATAGCACTTTTTCCCCCTAAATTATTTAAGTGGCAGTTTTTCCCCCTGATATATTAAATGGACATATTTACCCTTAAAATAAATATTTCATTTATTTTTCTTCTCCAACAAATTATAACCACGATTTGAAAAAATAAAATACATTAAGTGTTGAATTTAGAATATTTTAAAAATAAAAAAATAAAATTTTAAAAGAAAGTTTGAACCAACCGTTCAAATTGGATCCAAAATCGTGAACCGACGGTTCAAAATAAAACTCAAACCGCGATTATATATACTTATATGTGAGAGTCAATATAAATGCGGAAAAAAACATACACTATTTACAAATATTATAATTCTAATTTAAGCTATTGCTAGTAGTTGTTCCGATTTGAACCTCCGGTTCACGGTTCAGGATCCATTTTTTTCCAGTTCACGATTTTAATAAACGGAAACCCAAATATTGGGTTATGTTATGAATCATAACCGAAATTTTTTAATTTGATTGCTATAGTGTTTGGTTCAGTTCGAACCGAACCGTTGTCATCACGACGTATAAGCAATAATTTGTTGAAGAAGAGAAATAAATAAAATATTTGTTTTAAGGGTAGAAATGTCCATTTAATATTATTAGGGGGAAAAACCACCATTTCTATAATAATTGAGGGGGCAAATGTGAATGCATGAATAACTGAGGGGGAAAATGTGCTATAAGCATATAACAC